TAACAAACCAAAGTACAAACAAGATTATAGCAACAACCTCAATTGCCCTTATTAATGCCATTATGCCACCCTAGCTGATAGACTCTATGCTATATTCCCCAATCAGGCATTATTAACAAATCATTAAATCTGTAAATGAGAAGAGCAAAATTATCTGGCATAATCAGAACAGTAATAGTAATGCACCTTCTATTGAGATTCTGGCTCCAGCCCTGAGCTCCGCAGCAGTAGTTCATTTAAAAGTATTAACAGACTGCTTCCAGCCAGAGGTTATTTACTAGGACAAAGTCGCACTAGTCGCGCTCTCTGCTCTCTTACCCCATCATAAGTAGAAAACTTCCATCAAACTTGTGTGATTCTGGAGCTGAGTAGACTTATAAACTGCCTTCAGTTGCGAAAGCATTTATACAGCCTCGGGGAACCTGACAAATACTCTGCTGCTTCCCTCATGAGTTGTAGATATTATTTGAAGGAACCTTATGATGCTGAAGCCTATGCCAGGGATTTCATGAAGGGGCACAACACACAAGACGAGGAGTGATGGGGAGAGGCAGTGCGGGAACCCAGACAGAAAGCAAAAAGCTGGACAAAGACCCCGCGGGTGTACTCTAGTAGAGCCAGGAGAGGAGCTGTGCCTGTGGAAAATGTGACTCACACAGCTAAGCCCTCCCTGTGCCCTAGTGCTAACGCTCACTGGTCTTTGTACGCTTTGGGATAGCTCCAATCACAAAAGGCACGCGGGCATGAGTCCCACTGAAATTAATAGGTGCCTTGTCCAAAGGAAAAGAAAAAAATTATTTGTATTTTTTTCAACTCATCCATAAGTTACATTAAAGGGACTTGTCTCTCAGGACTCATCTTAAATCATACCTGGCTGTGTTTTGCCTTTGGTATGTGAAAACAAACATTTTTTTCTTGCTTTGTTTTCTGCCTTAGGGAATTAGTGACTCAGACAGGATGCTGAAGACTCAGTGGGATTTATTTTCCATCATCCTCAGTTTTCCCTTTTTCTTTTTTTTTTTTTCTTTTTATTAGGCATGCTGGCTTATTAACGCGCTTTAAACATTCATTCAGAGCAAAATTTTCAATAAATAATTCTTGCCTCCCCACATACTTTTATGTGATTTGGGGGTTTTGTTTTGTTCTACTGTTCAGGAAAGCAAGGGGTAGAAAGGACAGATAGCACATATCTGAGGGGCGCTGGCTGGCTGTAGAGGCGACAGACACAGCCCTGCTTCTAAAGCACAAATCCCTTTGCCATTCCCCTCTCAGCGGCTTTTATCAAAGGCAAGAATCACACTCACCTCCCAAGAGGCGCCCTGCTCTGAGTGTCCAGGCACTGCTTTTTTGGAGGCACTTAGTCCCCATGCTACGTCCTCTCCTGCTCTGGTTCCACACTCTACCCAGGCTCCACTGAAGATATGGTTATGTCGTGCTTCGATGCACCCACCTCATGGCTGAATCCTGGAACCCCACAACTTTGCAATAGACAAGTGCCTATAGGAAAAAAAAACCCTTCCCTTTACTTGGTCAGGTCTGGTTTGCCAGAGGTATGATTCTGTATCCAAGCAGCTTTTCTCAGAAGAGGAAAATAGAATAGTCTTTCCCGGAGGGATAAAACCAGCACATATTTTAGCTACAGTTAATCTGGCTGAACAGAGAAAATTTCTTTGCAAATAAAGGGAAGCATTTTAAAATACATTTTGCATATTCATCATATACTATTTTTACAAGCACTTGAAGCAATGGAAATATTAAACAGGAACAGAATCAAGAATGACCAGAACTCTCTATTACCTGTTAGAATTTTGGTCCCCTCCCTACCCTGCTCATACTCTTGGCACTTAAAAATATACAATAAAAAATAAAATACAGTCAGTAAAAGTCACACTTGTAAAATTACATTTTAAAATAACAGCATTGTAAAGTAGCAGCTACAAATGAGGTGAAATGCTAAGCAACAAGTTGCCCAGACATTTTTATAGAAATTGGAATGAATGTCCAGTAAGTGTCCAAGGAAATTGGAGTTGATTGAAACTTCTGGCTACTCTGTATTTTAACTGGACGGCTCGCGCTGCTTCAGCCTCTTGCCAACAGGCTGACAAGGATATTAAAACAGGGAGCAAGGGGGGATCAGCCAAATAAAGTGAGCAGTTATTTGTAAGAAGATAGTTCACCTTCTCTTCATTATTAGTCAACCCAGCAAGCATGTCCTATGTTTATGCTGGATATCCAGTTAATTTTCTCCTAGACAATTTTCTCCCAGACTGTGCAAAAGACAAACCTATATTGGCAACATGAATAGCATAAAGAGATGGATCTTAGCCAAAGGAAACTGCTTTCACCAGCTTTTTTTCTTTTTCCTCAGCACAGACAGGAACGTTAGAAAAAGGCTGCAACCGCACACTGAGGTAAGGTAGCTCAGCTGGAAGCTGAGAACACGGGTTCCAAGGGCTATTTCCTAACTCTTTCACATCTCTTCATCTTATTGTAGTTCTGCTGCTCAACTCACCTTTACAGCCCTCTCTGTGAGTCTAACTCACAGCAGACTGCCTTCCAGTACAAAGATCTTGCAAGTGTGCTTTTGCACAGCAATACCCTCGGCTTATTTAGGGAACTACTGAAATACAAACAGATGACTGCAGTCTGATACCACACTTTCAAAATAAAACTCTGACCTTTTACAAATGCAACTATCTGGACAGCGTTTCTCATCTATTTCCTGTAATTTTGCAAAATGGAATATCATGGGCGTCCAGAGAGTTTCTTGCATCTTCCAGATGAAGCCAGAGAAATTGTCAGCTGACAATTCCTTTCAGTTTGAAGACAGAGAGTTGTTGTTGCTTCCTCTTGCCCCTTTTTAAGGCTTGAAAACAGACTTTTTGGATATATTTGTGAGTCCAGGATGGATCAAAGCAAGAGAAAATGTTTTAACTAGCCAAAGGTGTAGCAGATGGGGAATTATCCTGGGATGCAAAAGATGCAGGCTGATATTCCCGATCTACCCAATTCTCACCAAGGAATTGAATTTACATTTCCCTTGACCCAGACAAGTACCATAATTGCTGGCATATCGGGTCCAGAACTTCACCAGCCAAACTAAGATGGTTCTAGGAGAAGGGATCCTGTAGTCATATAGACCTACGTCTTTTTTGTTTTACTATTACTTTTTTACATTAAACTATTGAAGGGTCTAGAATTTTGGACTATACCAGAAAAAATGAGAATCTCCCCAAAATTTCAAAACCCAACATATCCTTCATGAAATAGATGAAAGAGGACACACCTTTTTGACTAGCCTAACTTAAGGATGATGCAATGTTTTACACAGATAAAAGTTGCTAGTCTTTGGGGCTGGAAAGCAATGTTTTTTGATGAAAGGCATGAGGTTTTTTTGCTTATGTCCCCACTCAAAAGGTCCCTTGCATTTCTGTTATGTGCAAGTTAGGAAACACTTTGGGAATTTAGGGATGAAAGATAATACTAGAGTGAGTAGCATATGAAACAACTATTCAGCTAGATCTAAGCAACTTCCACGGAGCATGCCAGCTGGATGTTAGGAAATACTCTCCAGTTAAAATGCTCTGAGACATCTATATTTTTAAGAAGCAGAACCAGAAACAGCTGCAGACTGACTGATATACCAGAAACAGCAGAAAACTTCTATAGAGAGCCTGGATCATAACACTACCCTCTCAGAGATTCACACCACAACAACAACGTTAACTTTTTGCCTTGCCAGACCTACTGGGCTGCTCCTGGCAAAGCGCTCTTGGGATGCTGTTCTCCTGATGTTCCCCTGCAATGGAATAAACGTGGGGCACTCAAGGGCTTATTCCTTCCACTGCCCTGCCTCAGCCCAGCTTTTTGGGGGAAAGTGTAAACGACATGGAGCGGCCCAGGCTGTTGTCGCCAAAAATCAAAGCAACCACAGAAGCTATCTACATTCAGAAGCCACAAAGTATTTATTTTCCTTCTCTAAAATAAAATTCAGGTATAATTATTCTAACTGCAACAGATAACTTCAACTTGCAAACATTCTCAAAGCTGCATTTGTTTTACCTGAACAGATGAACTGATGAAACACCTAACAAATGTATTTATGAAGAAAGGAAAAGGACAGGAAGAAACAACTTCAATGACAAAAAGCCCATACCAGTCCAAAGCATTTTTGTATCTAACTTCACCTATGGGGGAGAGGGAAGGGCTTGGACTTTTTACCTACAACAGATACTTCAGCTTCTGTGTGTGGACAGTGTTATTTGCTGACAAGAACAAGCAGTGGCTTGGTATGTGCATTTTTTCATATTTATACGTATATTTACACACACCCATGCACATACAGCCTATAAATATACTATGTTTTCTTCTACTCCATTCAGAAAAGCCAAGACAAAGCAGTTTCTAATCTTCAGTCTGGCCTGTCAACAATCACCTAACAAGGAATCGCAGTGAACTTCAGCAATGAAGATGGGCAATCTTTGTGTAGGACAAACTTTGTTCGTTGTTGAACTCCATCTCACAGAGATTGTGATAATATATTTTTGGAAGTCCAACAAGGAAACTATTTAAGACCCAAACCAGTGACCAACATGGTCAATAGGAAGGTCATTGACTTCAAAGAGGCCTGGCTCAGGTACTCATTCTTCCCCCTCTGCTGCATTATACTCGGTTGTTTTCGCGTCTTGTATTAAAGTTGAATGTGCATGCTCTTAGATAGTACTTCTGTCACACAAATTTACAGCGCTTAGTGTAAAGAGACACCGATTCACTATTAGAGATCTTGCGTGCCATCACAATATAAAGATTAATTTTTGTTACTTTAATAATGCTCGTTGTCACAGTTCCCAAGTGCTGTTTGAAGCAGCACTGTTCTACAGACATACACAGTAAAAACGCTTATGTTACAATATGAACTAGCCCCATTTAAAGTAACTAAGCTTAAAATTATTTTTCACTGATCCGATCCCAGTTATTAAAGTTCACAGACATTTACGTACATGCTATATGGCAGGCAGTCCTGTTAATCATCAGCTTTGCGTGTACTCAGCCAAGAAGAGAGGAGTCCTTCTTGCAATGCAGCTGGCATAGTCCTGTCTGAACACAGGAATAATGCATGAATTGGCCAATCGCTGTCACCGAGCAGCAATGTCTATGGAGTGCAAAGAGCATTTTCACGTTTAAGAGGAAACTTTTTATTTTAAATATTCAACGGCCACTGTCTTCTTCATGTTGTTCTCCCACAATCTCAGCAAGTGCAAAGCCAGCTCACAGGCTCTGATGCCATATTGCCAGGAAGGCTGCTTGTCAGCAGTTGTAGTGGCAGGCAACAGCAGGAGGCTCAGAACAAGCATCTGAAATAAAATGCTTATTCAAGAGATAGCACAAAGGCTGGTTTTCTAAGTGGCATGAAGCGCTTCACCCTGCGGGAACCTTCAGATCTCTGCACTGAGCAGCTGGGTTGCACTTTTCTACTCTCAGTAATAATGATAAATAATAATAATGATAGCAAAGTAAAAGGAAACCCTTCGTCTACAAGCTGCATCAGGTGGACTTAATGCTCCTGCCTGCAGGTGCATAGGGCTTAATTCCACCACCTCTCACTCCCCTGCAGCCTCCCAGCTTTTGCATACATATGTGGGGGGCTGGAGAAGCAAGGCTGCCCTGTATCCAGGCAACGGGCAGTGCTGAAGGCTCTGCAAACCTCTTTAATTCACATCAGGGCTAGCTGGGGCAGGTATCCCCCACAGATTTTACAGAGTGCAGGAGAGAAGGGTCATTTTCAATTTTAAGGAATAAAGGCAGAGAATAAAGCAAGGTCTCTAAGTGTCTTCTAAAAAAGAAAGCACATTCCCAGGTCTTCCTGGGGTTACCTGCTTTCCCAGCACTGCTCACTTGGGAGGTGTCAAGGACAGCCATCAAAACATAACGTGTTTGACTTTTTCTTTCATTTCTCAGCAATGCTTCTGCATGCATTTAGGTTCACCTCCTTCTACTTCAGGAACTTTCCAAGTTTACTTGCCACCTTGAAAACGGTCTCATTTCCTGGCCCTGGGTTTTGGCCAGGCAAAGCCTAGCAATGTCACGATTAACAGATGAGACAATGAACGTGCACACACATCACCAGCTTTCAAAGACAGTCTTGGGGAACAAAAAGTCAGTTGAGAACAAACAATCTATCAATCCTCATATTTGCAAAGGGAAAAACTTCTTCATGAGTATATGGGATAAAATTCTAATGCCAGTGAGGTCAACAGGAGTATTTCCATTAACTTCCATGACAACAAGATTTCAACCATGGTGTTTTGGGCAGGTTTCCTCTGGATGCTGCTCAAAACTTACTGTGGCCGAGGTATAGTATTTGAGGAAAGACCAAAGAACAAGAGCTAAAACACACACAAATCTTGTCCCTGAGTATTTCAATTCCCTTAAAAGATGATCTACATGCCACTGCCATTCATACCACAAGCTGCAGAGGATAGATTTATTTGAAAGAAAACTTTAAGTAAATTCATATAGGTTTTGTAGCATTCATCTGTCTCCCAAATAATCGCTGAAGCTGCCATATGGACATTATATAATTGCAAATACACAAGAAAGAACAGAGGAAAGAAATCTATGATAAACTGCTGCATTAAGATGTTCTGATTCAAATCAGACATAATTCAAAGAAACTCTGTGTCTAGTATGATAAAAGAAGGCATAATGGTCCTTTCCTGCCTTACTCTACTTGATGCTACACCAGCATTTGAGGATCTTAGCCATAGACATCTTTCATGACATAACCCCATCCAGCAAACATAACCTAGGAAGGTCTAAAAACCTTCCTAGTCATCTCAGTACTGATATACAATCCACTTGAGATTTTTGCTTTCGTCCATCATGACTGGAAATATTAAACAAATACTACACAGGGGTACATGAAATGCTAAAATCAGAAGCGCTGTTTGGAGTTTAGGAATTCTCGTGGCTCCTGCACTAATCTTAGTTCACTGCCCGTGCCTTTCCTCCTCTCTTAACAATTTATACAGCCTCAATGACTTGTCAAAAAGCTTCTTTTCCTACTAGTAGCAGCAGCTGTTACTGTAGGAGACAGCACAGTATAAAGTTACTCATTAAGAGAGGTAGGGAGCTACCTCCCTGGAATACAGCATCACCTCGAGTTGAACTCTAGGGAAAGGTAAGTACAGTTCTTCTTTGCTCCTTTGTCACCAATAATACGTAATGTCAGAAGGGATTGGCCAAAATGCACGCTATGCACCTGGCCTGAAGATGACTGATTCATAGTATGCAATTCCCATTACTTCTCTGAAGCAGAGGCTCTAGTGCCAGGAGGTCAGATCCTCTGTAATACCCTGTGTATCCTCCCCAGCCACCTGCACCAACTTTACAACAATTTGCGTAAGCTGGCCCACTGATTCACTGGGAAGGAAGGCATATCTCAATCTTTTACACTAAACCAGCTTTTCCCCCCAAAATTCCCACCTATACATAGACTGCCTTGAGTCACTTCTTCATAAGTCTTCTTTACAGCCTTTCCCTCTCCTGCTCTTTTTGCAAAGAGCCCTTTGCACCATCACCTCAGAGCAGGAGAGCAGAGCTGAGCTGCATCAAAGACTCTGGAGGCAGAGGAGAGAGAGGACAGAATAAAGGTGAGGAAGGTGGCCATTCAGTGATATGGCACCCCTCACAGCTGAGGTGGGGAGGTCCTGTCTGAGGTAAGGAGGGCTCCAGAGCAGAGCTGGGTGGGGACAACTTCATCCAGATCTAGGAAACTGTTGAGACATTCTGAGCACACTTCAATAAAGCCCAAACACCACTGGCTTCTTCAGGATCTACAGCTCTAAATACCTGTTTAAATGCTTTAGAGAAGTACAGCCAGACAGCTTAGCCCTTTGCAAGATCAAACTCTCCTGCCTGGTGCTAGTCAGTGCAAATTGATCCCTCATTCACAAATTAAAAAGAAAGTGACCAGCACTGAAAAGAACAAGACAGAGCAGTTCACAGAAGAAACCCAGAGAGACACCGATTGATTATTCCCAGAATGCCTTTCCCAGAAGCATTAATGAAGAACGTGCCCGGGACAGCAGCCTTGAGCAGTGCATGGAAACATATGAAAAGCTCATCTGGCCCTCCTTTGCACCCACAGACCTCCCTGCCTGATGAGCATGTTTCAAACAGTCCTGTAAAGCACTAAGGCCTGGATCCCCACTAAAAAAAAAACATTCCCTTTGCACATCTCCTCCCTTTTAAATCAAGCTCAAAACCCATACCAGGGGCACCTCCAGTGTGTACAATGATATCTGTCCAACATTCCTCAGTAATAGCATCAACCTGGGACGGGGAGGAGAGATTTGTTCAATGGGGAGGGCATCATAGGAGGGATATAGGCAAGAAAGGCAAAATATAACAATATCCTTCAGATATCTCAAACACAGCCTACTGCTGGTGTTGAGGGCAGGCATTTTAATCCTCACCGGGACATGTTAACAGAAATGAGAAATTTGCAAAGATGACATTTAATCATAACTATGAGCGCTCAGGCTTTATTCCTTGACTTGAAAGTGAGAGTACTCTGTAACTCAACAAAACCAGCTGGAAAAGCAGAAACAAGAAAGGCTGCAGGAAACGGATTTACCTGCAACTAGGAGTGATAAAAGCAACTGATATCAGGAAAATGACTAAAATGCTAGTGATCATTCTCCTGCCATAAAAGCACCAAGCTCTTCCAGCAAGGAGTTGCAACCAATGTTTTACTAGCAAAAACCAAGTCAAATTACTCTCTGTTTGTATCATCAGAAAGAACGTACCAAGATGATTAACAGGTTTTGTAGTTTGGGTGACTAAATCAAAAAACAAAGAGAAAGAATTGCTTTGGTTTGAATTGGAAGGGTTTTTTTTTCCACTGAAACAAAACAATACAAAGATATTTCTTCACATCAACTCTCCAAAGGTTTGTTCAACCTGAAATGAAACATTTATTACATTTCCAGAGTTTTTAAAATCAAAAACCCTCTTTTATAAAAATGTTGAATCATATTTTAAAGGGGCATGTAGCTTTATTTTTTAAATGTTTAAAGGAGCTCCTTTAGCATTTCTAAAACAAAAATATGCTATTCAGAAAAATCTAGAATTAAATGTTCTGATGTTTAAAAATATACATACAACCCTTTTTTGACTGAAACTATTTGCTTCATTTCAACTTGTTTTTATAAAGATTTATGGTCTCCATAAAGCTTTTGGGAAAAAAAAACGTTGGGCAATTTCTCTCTTTTGTAAAAATGATCTAGTACAGAGGAGTGATCCCCAGATTTGATATACACAGCTGATCTTCTTTTCAGAGGAGAAGAAACATCAGACTGCTGCACTTTCAATTAACTACCATTATTCCTGACCAACAGAAAAAATACATAGTAAAAGACCAAGATTTCAAGCAGAAGACTAAGGCAGTGCTTTCAGGTTTGTACACCTAACACTCAGGACTGCTGAGTACAACTAGGGATTTATATTGCTGGTTCTAAACATCTGAATTCTGGTTTATACTTATATCTGTTTAGTATGAAGTTTTCTAAATGAGTCATTTCTGACTAGAGGAGAAAAAAAAGAAAAAGAAAGAAAGAAAGAAAAATCGTGGAGCTTTTCATTGCTCTTTTTTAAAAGTCACCATTGCTTATTCCCTTCCTGGGATGCAGACATATTGAACACACTGAATGTTATCCACAGATGTTGTGGTCATATTAAGTCACTAGGGGAATCAGGGCTTTGATTTTCTCTTCTCCAGGTATTTTAAATCACAAATTTTATTCATGTAAACAGTGTGAATGTATATCCTTTGTTTTGTATACTTTTGGCAAAAGGAGACAGAACAGCAGAATGCCAACTCCTGGTTCTAATCAATTCAGTAAGAGTTTGGCCTTCAGTGCAGCTACCAGATAACACAGAAAATTGGGAGATGGGAAAGGAAATGGAAAAGCAAAGGCAGTTCTGGCAAGTAATCCTACTTTCCAGTAACATAATCCGTACACTAAGCCAACTCAGCTAACAGGCCAATAACTTGCGATAAACTACAGCTCTGTTCTGAAAGCTGAACACAAGCA